GTTCCTGTCAGGTATACCTGACAGGAACATTTGTGTTTCTCTAAATAGGACTTAATAAAAGCAAAAATGCAACAATAGGAGCTTAATGTTTAAATTCCCAAAATAAGACTAATTCTTCCTACTCTACCCTTTCCCTTGTCAATCTTAATATGTTTTTTTTTTAAAATAAAACATAAAATATAAAGATAAAAATGTAAAAAGTAAATAAAAAAATATACAGGCCTCAACCACCACCTTCCAGCACCGCCACCTCCGGTCGTAGGAAAAGAATGCCAAGTTCAAAAAAATGTCATCGTGATGGCAATTTTGAAAAGAAAATTAAATATTTTCAAAGAGTAAAAAATGTCATATTCATGGCATTTTCATTGAAATGTTCCATTTTTACATAAATGGCATTTTTTCGGTGATCAAAGTTGGTTGTGGTGGAGGTGGAGGATGTGGTGGCAATGGCCTACATATTTTTATATATTTTTAGGTACTTTATTTTATGTTAAAGATTTTTTAGGTTTTTTTAAATGTTTTTTTATTTTTTTATTTTATTTTATTTATCTTTTCCCATTTTCTATTATTAATTTATAATTATATTTACTATAAATAAAATCATGATTTTACTATTAACAAAATAAATCTATTAGAGTTTATCTAAAGGAGTAGAATAGGAAAAAGAAATATATATATATATATATATATATATATATATATATATATTACTTCTATTATGGAAATAAAAGTATTATAGCTCTATTGTTAACATTTAAGAGTACTTTTAATTCTATTTAGGTCTGATAGCCAATAAATTTACTCTTTTGTTGATAGTTTTCTTCATCTAGCACATCTTTTATCCAATCTTCTTTCTTATAATCCCCCCCCCCAATGATAATTTCTCATCACATGGAAAAATTAAGATTTGATGATAAATATATCCAATCTTTTATTCCAATAGTCTTCTTTTTAATATATTGATTATCAAAATGTAAAAATGAGAACAGTACAAACGTGGTAGAAGAGAGATGCATACATATAATCGATGGTGGATCCAGGAAATTTATCTTGGGGTCATGGACATAGTGACATATTTAGAAAATTTTATAAATAGTGATCAACTTAGACTAGAACTTAGTCACATATATCTCACAAATAGTCAAATAGCAAATACATTATTAATGTTGTTTGGTTAAACTTAGTTTAAATTATAAATGTACAAGTATATATAAAAAGAAGATCAATTCATATCACGTATGAGGAAAGATGAAACTGTAGATAAAATTTGAGAAAATTGCCTAAAACAGAAATTAAACATAACAAAATTAAGTGAATCTTTTATCGCTTTATTCTGTTAACAACACTACATAAATCTTATGTTCAGGAAATAAAACACTCTTAATTCTATGTCAGATTTTTTTTATGTTAAACTCATATTTTGAGCAATTTCCTATATAACTTTGGGTTATATAAGGAATGGTTGGAGTGGGGGGGGGGGGGGGCAACTGCCCCTACTGCCCCCGCAATGGATACTCCATCGTTGTAGTTAAAGTATTAAAATAGTACATGATAAATATATTATTACAAAAAAGTAAAGTTAATACATTAAAGTTGTTTGTGACATTTCTCCAAATAGATAAATCCCTCAATCACAATGACGGCTTCGCCGACCCTGGGGTAGGAAAAAATCGGGAAAGATAGAGAGTCGAAAAGTTGCTAAGTATAGATTAAGTAGAAAAAATGACAAAGTAAAGATGTTTTCTTTTGGAATGTTTTCAGTCCCAGACCAGACCAGATCATACCAGACTTCCGTATTTATAAAATACACAGAGACCAGACCCATTCAGATGAGACCAGATCAGATCAGACCAGACTAGCAAATTTCAGTCCAAAAGAAAACATCCAACACTAAGCTTAAGAGTATATAAATGGTGATCAAATAATATAGTGACATGTGTAAAGTCTAAATGGTAAGAAAATAATCACTATTGAGGCCGTATACCGTGCAACCGGTGCATGGTTAGCACCATGCACCCATGGTTGTATGAAATGTAACTCGTGTGATTCGAGATGTAAATTCAAGTTAATCAAAATGTAAATTGCACTCATTCACATGTAACTCGTTGAAATGTAAACTGCTTTTATTGAAGTGTAACTTGGGGAACAAATTAGATGTAACTTGGCATATGTAACTTTAGTCTTTTGAAATGTAAAACGCTTTTACAAACTCCATGTATTAATTAATATATACACACACTCCATATATATATATATATATACACACACACTCATGCTTGGTCAGAAATCACAGATCATCGTTGCTTTCTAATCACACAAGGATGAGGAGAAGTTGGTTCCAGGATATGAAAACACTAGGGAGATCACATCTTCTTCCAGCGATCATCGTTGCTTTCTAATCAAATTGGGATTTGGGATATCTGTTGGGGAAGGAGAAGCGCAGTAAGGAGAAGACCCTAGTAGATGCTCTGCGACCCGAGGATGACCAATGTCGGAGTTCTTGGAGATCGGCGATCTCTGTTTAAATTAAAAAACGACCGGGCACACCATCCTCATGGTGTGCCGGTTGTAGGTTATAATTTGCGATCACTATTGGCCGATTAGTACTATTTATAACAGATTTGTCCTTTCAACTGCTAGGAAGTGGGCGGTCATTACTTCTTTCGATTGGATTACTATTTAATTTTATGTGTGATATTTATCTTAATAGGAAAAATTGATAGTAATAATCCCAATTATTGGCGGTCCGCTCATAATAATCTCAATTATTGATTATTTCAGAATAATCCCAACTTTAGGGACCTTCCGTCAATAATGATCCCTATAAATAAATTCTTGTAATTTCTAAAATGAATGAGAAGAAATATAGCAATTAATCTCTATAAATAATTCTAACTTTTAATTTTTACGCTTAACTTCTATTTAAAATTCACTTGTTATAGACTTATAGGCGGTAATATTTGGTCATGAACCATTATTGGCGGACGGTCCATATAGTTGGGAATTGAGATTATACAAAAATAATCAATAGTTGGAATTATTATCAACGAATCTGCAATAGTTGAGATTATTACTTTCAATTTTTCTTATCTTAATGCTTTAGGATGTTCGCTTACTATGAAACGTTATGATTCCTTAATATTTTGTTTGTTACACTTTTATATTAATTGTATAATAATTAGTTATATTAAAGACCCCACAAGGCCACAACTCTAATTTCCGGGACTCGTCACTCATAACATAACCAAAGATCCACAATGACACCACCTCTCCATCAAAGAAGAATATATTTAATTAAATGTTGTAGACTTGTAGGTATGAGTATAATAAGTTGTATAACGATGGTTTTCGAGCAAGAAATGAGGAAAGTAAGATAACATGGGCTATGAAGGGAGAAATAGAGAGCAATAAGAGCAGATATAGCTGAATCAGGTAAACAATGAATTAGAGTTTATAAAGAATTTTTGATACATCTAATATTAAAATGTCTCTTTCCAGGAATATTACTAAATTAAATTCAACAAATAAATGTAAAACTTATATTAAAAAAATTAAAAGACGGACATATTCAGTGATTAGTTCACAGTACCTTGTCATCTACTAATAGCATGTTATCTTGAGATACACTGGCTCTCGTTCAGTTACTCATACCTGTGATTAGTCATATTTTTTTGTCCAAAAAGATAACTAGTTATAGGAGTATTGGTTGATTCTGTTGAAATTTATGAAGTTCTGACTTATGTGGCTGTATTGGTTGATTCTGCTGATTTGTGAAAATTAATAATTTAAAATACATTTTATTAATAAAATTAAAAAAAATGAAAAAAATAGCTAAAATGACCCTCTACAGTAACTTCAGCCAGTACAGTCAGAAAAGTAACTTCAACCTTACTTTTTCTTATTGTTACACAATTCAATTCATAAATCCAAATTACATGTTTGGTGGAAAATTAGACTTATAAGCCTGAAAAGCTAAAAATGATGGCTACGAAACGGGGCACTAAATATTAGTAGTACTGTTTTCCGATCAAACTAAATTATTCTTAATCATTTACTTTACATATCCAATTTTTTTTATCAAAATTCAAACTTTTGTGGCTATATAAATTTTTAGTGTAGTTTATGAATAATCAATATGCCGAATGAAAACCTTTTCTCGAGTTATTTATGTCATTGCTATGTTTACATATTTGATGATATTTCATATTTCAGGAGGGAAAATGGGCAAATAAGGTCATGTACTAACCAAAAAAGGTCAAATAAGGCCTTATTTAAGAGGTTCTGTCCGGCCAACGTCATTTGGGTGGTTTCCGGTGGAATTTTTTGATGAAATTTTTTGAGCATCTTATTCAGTAAGTCTAGTTTACTCATACCAAATTTCAGCTAAAATTTCAATCGTGAAGGCATTCAAATGAATTCTTGAAGATAACTGCGTTGTTATTTATGTCATTGCTATGTTTACATATTTGATGATATTTCATATTTCATGAGGGAAAAGGGGCAAATAAGGTCATGTACTAACCAAAAAAGGTCAAATAAGGCCTTATTTAAGAGGCTCTGTCCGGCCATCTCCATTTGGGGTGGTTTCCGAGGGAATTTTTTGATGAAATTTTTTTAGCATCATATTCAGTAAGTCTAATTTACTCATACCAAATTTCAGCTAAAACTTCAATCGTGAAGGCATTCAAATGAATTCTTGAAGATAACTGCGCAGTTATCTTCAAGAATTCATTTGAATGCCTTCACGATTGAAGTTTTAGCTGAAATTTGGTATGAGTAAACTAGACTTACTGAATAAGATGTTCAAAAAATTTTACCGGGAACCATCCCAAATGACGATGACCGAACAAAGCCTCTTAAATAAGGCCTTATTTGACCTTTTTTATTAGTACGTGACCTTATTTGCCCCTTTTATCTCATATTTCACATTTGAACGTCAATAACTTTTCTTTATTTTATTTTTATTTTGAAGCGGTTCGTTTATCGGTGCAATGACGTGTAAGGTTTAAAAGAACATTGCTTCCGTGTAGAGAAAGAGGTCGATTGTGCTGTGTACTAAAAATCCTCCATTGGAGACCCTCCCATGAAAAAACTCTCTCTCTAGCTTTGTTTCTTCTTACTTTGCTTTTGTCTCTCGTTCTCCCAACACTAATTAATAATCAAGGCGCAAAACGTTTATCTAAAACATTGTTGTTGGTCAGCTCCCTCTCTAGAATGCACTTTATTTGACAAAATCTTTGTAGGTTTTAGTAAGCAGAAGCTATTAAGAACTCAAGAGGCAAACAATGGCGAAGAGTTCTCTGTTTTTTCTGCTGGTAACCTTAATCGTTCTATTCGAATGTTCCTCTGCTTCAGCTGCCCCTGTTGCTAGTGAGTGATTGCTACCCCACAATCTCTTTTCTCTGACTGAGATTTGACGCCCTGCCTGCCTGCAACATTCTTATTTTATTTTTATTCATTTTGTATTCTCAGAAATTGTCGGCGGGGTTGTCACAAATGTTATCTCTCTTTGCAAATTGTTGTGGTCGCTCAAAGCTACAACTCCTACTACGACCAAACCAGGTTTGTATCCGTTAGACAATGTTTGGATCCCCTGGAAAATGCTAAGGAAATGGAAGATTATGTAAAATTATTTCCTTATGCGCCATATATATAATGCAATGGATGATTAATGTTTTTTATTATTGGATACACAAGTTTTTTTTTGAAAGGATGTATACACAAGTTTTGATTTCCCAGTATTAATTAATTTATTTATTTATTTTAAATACTTAAAAATGAATATGAATCCCGTCAAAATAAGTTATAGATTTTAAATCAATGATTCAGTTTTCGTCCACATTATTATTTCTTTCTGTAGCTTTTTCTGTGTTTTAAACGGACCCTTAATCTATCCCATCTCTATTACCGAGTATATAAGAAATGAACTTCCTCACCTCTTTACTATGTACTATTACTTTTTTTAATGCAATGGAGAGATTGTTTATGCTTAATATGTCCTATTTTACCGATGGGGTTTAATTAGGAGATTTTTCCTAATATTTCTTTGACATTCTTTTTCCCAGCCATGGCGCCCAGCCGTTCAATGATGAAGTTTGAGAGTGGATACACTGTGGAGACTGTATTTGATGGAAGCAAACTTGGTATTGAACCATTCTCGGTTAAGGTTTCCCGGGCCGGAGAGGTCCTCATTTTGGATTACGAAAACAGTAACATTTATAAGACGTCATCCCCGCTTTCTCGCTGTAAGCAGCTTTCCCGTGTTGATAATGTACTTGTTTGATAATCATCGGAAGCATTATGATTGTTATTACCTTAGTCCTGTTGGACATCGTTAACTTTCTATTAGGCGAGAAATAAGTAAAGTAAAAAAATTTGTGGTTGAAATTTGTGTAGAGGAGATTTTTTTTTTTTTTGTGTAGAGGAGAAATAAATTAGAAAAACTACAACTTAGTTACTTTGATTGGAAAATGACAAAGTTTTTGGGAAAACTAAAAAAAGTTGGCAAAGTCCCATCCAACTTTAAAGTGTCATCTTTCGTTGAATGTTTTATTAATGTTCAAGCTTAGTAAAAACATGTTGATTTTCATCTCATCCGTTATTTTTATTGTTTAAATAGGAATAAATAAGATCATCCTTCCTTTTAAGTAGGATTGCTCTTTCAGCAAGCATTGTCATGAGAACTGAGAATCATTTTAGTTGCACTTTTGAGTTTGGGTTTCATGTGTACTTTTGTGTGGCTGAAGGCTCTTCTTTCTAAGATGCATAGGATCTTCAGGGTGTTAGTGTATAATGGAGAGAATAGTAAAGTTATCCAATCCTTACAAAGAATTGATAACAGGCCCAATTATTCCTCTACTCATTCTTGCCTTTGGGGACTGTTCCCTTTGTGTCTAAGACAAACTTCCCCCTTTATTCTTCTTGTTCATAGCTAAAAAGTATTTTGAAACCAAAAATCTTCTCTTCTGCAAAAAAGAAAAAGAAAAAGGTAATAAAAGTATTAACATATCTTTGAATCTTAAACAGAAAAAGTTGATGTGAGGTGTCTTAACTTGCCACATCATATGCCTTATGCAGTTTCCTATTTCCAGCTTGATTAGTTAATTTTCTTAATTTCTAGACTACAACCCGTTATTAGTTTGTTCCTTAAACTCGTTTCAAAAGGTTGAATATATACATTTGTTTGTAGATAGCCGGCCCAAGCTTGTAGTTGGATCACCAGAAGGGTACTCCGGACATGTGGACGGGAAGCTAAGAGATGCAAAGATGAATCATCCAAAAGGGTTCGCAGTGGATGATGGTGGAAATATATATGTTGCAGATACCATGAATATGGCAATCAGAAAAATCAGTGACACAGGTGAATTTTACTGAGCATGACAGTGCATATTTATCAGTTATCACCTTTTGAGTGGCCATTCCATAGAATTCTCTTTTTTCCAATGTCGTTTTTGGCGCTTATATATGTACTGAACTCTAACTCAGTAGGCAACCGACACATATGGTGCTAGGCTAGCTAGATACAACAGATTGTTTTTTTTATTCCAATATGCTTTTTATTTACAAAGAACTCATAGTGCATTTTCTTGTATATAGGAGTGGTGACAATTGCAGGGGGTGGGAAGTGGGTGCGGGGAGGGGCCCATATTGATGGGCCAAGTGAAGATGCAAAGTTCTCAAATGACTTTGATTTGGTTTATGTTGCAAGCAGCTGTTCGCTCTTGGTCATAGACAGAGGGAACCAGGCAATTAGAGAGATTCAGCTCCATGAGGATGATTGTTCCACTTATCACGAGGATCATGAGGATGATACCAATCTCCAACATCTAGGTAGAAATCCAAATCAATAACTTTAATCAAGAAATGCTAACCTAACAGACCTTTAATGAACAAACACTTCCTCAGAAAGAAATTGTTAGTGTTTTTTTCAATTTCATTGAAAAGCATTTTGAAAGTCACCCAAAGATGATTTTTACTTGTAAAAGTGCTTTTCAGCAGTCCTGGACGAAATCCAAACAGGATCACAGTTTCTGCACTCACACGATGTTTTGCAGATTAAACACATATTTGGTATCAACTCTACTACTTCATTATTGCAGGCACGGCACTACTTTTTGCAGCTATGTTTTTCGGTTACATGCTTGCATTGTTACAGCGTAGAATTGGAGCCATGTTTTCGTCCGACAGAGTAAGTATTATGAAAATGGCAACCACATGTGTTACACAAGTATTGTGAAATATCATTACATCAATGGATAGATAACTTTGAAGTAGTAAAATGTACAGAATGTAATGATATTTTTCACAGGGTGTGTAAATTTTTTAGTCCCTTTAGCCTTTAAGGATGTTGCTACAAATACAAGTAAAATGCAAAAAGGACTTGTTCAGTTCTAAAACAAAAAGTAGTCAAAAGTAAAAAAAAAAATACAGTAAATGAGTCACATTTACAAAAGAAAAAATGATGGGCGCATTTAAAGAAATGTGATATGTTATTAGTCTTATCTATGGAACTTTATCATTGCTTATAGGATCCTCGGACTCCTGCTATAAAGGGCACACCACCGTCGCAATATCAGTTGGACACTAAGCCGATCAGACCTCCCTTGATTCCCCCACCAGAGGATGATGAATATGAAAAACAAGACGAAAATCTATTAGTTTCAATAGGGAGACTATTCATTAACACAAGCTCATCCATTTTTGAAATCTTTGGAGGACTGTTCTCTAGATCCAAAAAGTCTTATCCCCAACAACATCACCACCTCCAGCATTACCCTTACCCTTACAAGCAACAGATTGCTCGGTCTGTGCAGGAAAGTTACGTAATTCCACGAGAAGACGAGCCCCCACCAGCCTTGGAACCCAGAGACCCCACACCAAGAAAAGTGTATTCTCATGTTTCGAAGGACGTTGAGAGGGCTAGGCATTTCAAGCAGAGCCGTTCCAACACCTACGGAGGATGGACCGGTGATATTCAACAACATCCACATCCAGAGCAATATCGTCACCAACTGCAGCATCATCAAAAGCATCAGGCCCCTAGCCCTCAAACTTACGTTGAACAAAGCTGTGAGAAGAAAGAGATTGTGTTCGGAGCTGTCCAAGAGCAGGATGGGCGTCGTGAGGCGATGGTGCTTAAGGCTGTCGATTTCGCTGACCCAGCTGCTTACAACATCCGGTCAAGGTACAACTACAATGCCAGCTATGCACATCGATACTGAATAACTGTTCGTTGCTTGTGAAACGGCTGAGGGTGAAGGTTTGCCTTGTTGAGTACGTGCTAGCTCACTTGATCTCAGTACGTAACATATGTAAAATCCATGAAACCTCATACACACTAATTTAGTTTAAACGTTACTTTCATTTATCAAGTTAAGTGTTCAAATCAAAGGAGCGTACAAATTTTAAAACTAGCTTGTTCAGGTTTCATTTATATTGCTTCTCAATCATCAATCAAATCCTTTCTTTTTCGGTTGGAAAGGGCAAGTCCACAAGGTAAACCGCCCTTCTTTATTATAACAAATACATAAACAAATAAATTACTTAACATGTGTAAAGCCACGCGCTGAAACTAAAAACCTGGTATTCAGATTTTTTCCATCCCCGCGTGCATATGGGACTTTAGTGTGAGAATGTATGGTCCAAGAGAGCTGTATTATATATGGGTTGTGATGAATTTCTCTTAATAATAAATACGATGATCTCATAGATATAGGGATTTCATATAAATGATACGTAGTACATATTTATCAATTTCACGAAAAACACAAGTTTAAACAAGAACTATATCAACTACTAGTAACATTCATAAGAGTTCAATTAAATAATAAGAGTTCAAGTTTAAACATCATAAGAGTTCAATTAAATAATTACATAAAATGATAAGAAACGGTTAAAAATCAAATGAAACAATTGTAATTCAACTAGTAATGCGGAAGTTCTACAAGGATAAATCAGGTTTAAGCATTCAGGATTATTTTCATTAGAAATTCAAAATTGGGAAGACAAATCACAAACACTGTCTCGTATTGATCCATTGTCATACTACATTACTCAAATAAGGACGATAATCACTACACAATTGTTACACTCAATGTTACATGTGGTACGAGCATATATGTAATAGAACTTTTCCACCAATAATCCACCTCAGAGCTTGGATTTCAATTGTTTATAGAAAAATTGTAAAGTAGTAATAAAAATTATTATTATGTAAATTTAGTAGTAATCCTAATAATAATAGTTTTAATAACAATAATGAATTGACATATGACATAAGAGCTAAAAAATGATTTAAAAAAATATAAGGTAAAAAAGATATAAATAAAACATTGGCTAAGGATAAGATAAAAGAGATGAGATAAAAACACAAGGAGATCGAGAAGATAAGAAAGAAAAAAGAAAAATGGGTAAAAGGGATAAAATGATATCAATCCACACGTATAAATACAACCTTCGCCTCTCTTTTATATCCTCATTCTCCATTACCCTTTGATGATATACTTAATTTTTTTTATATCTTAAGGCTAATCTTACGATCACAAAGGCGAGCAAGTCCATATACGAAGTATATATTTTTCCTTCTTCATGGTCAAATTTACATACAACTCTCTGTTCACTTTCTTCATGCTTCCTTCACGACTCACTTAAGGGGTGGACCGGACCCGGGACGGGATTGGGCGGGACAGGTTTTGGGTTGCAGGCCCAGTACCGGCCCGGGTTTGTACCGGGACCGGGCCGGGTTGGTCATAATTTGTTTTTTCTAAATGGCTTTTCGAATTTATTCCTACCCCACCCCCACCCCCCAAACTACCCAGCCCGATCCACCTAGCAGCCAATCAATGGAAAAAGGGCCCGGGCCGGTCCACCATTTCAGCAGCCCGCCCCATTTTACCCCCGGTTCGGGCCGACCCGTATTAGTCCATCCCTAACTCACTTAGCTATTCTTTTAGTCTTGTTGTACTTTTCTATGTTCTCATAATTCCAAATTTTGTAATATTCCCTTTTGTTTATTTTGTCTTATTTTACCTTGTTCTGACAGCATGTGTCCTTTATTGGTGGCAAGCATTCTTTAGATTTTTAAAGTATCTCTTTTGACACTTGATTAATCGTATGCTCTATTGATAACCACACATCCTTCATATGTGTAACATTATCAATGTATCATGCATCTTCCCCAATTATTTTGTGTGAAAAACTTTATTGGTTAACCCGCCGCCTTCTAGGCTTCTTACCTTGAAATTTAATTACAAACATCCTATATGATTGACGACACTCCGTATAGGATATTCGATCTTACAATTTATGTATTAGTTCTCCAAGTAGTTCATACTAAATGTAGTCAATTTGAACACTATTGGCTACATTTCTATAGGGTACAAGGTGAGAGTATCTTTCCTTGAACCAAGTTTTCATTATAGTTAACACATATGTTGAAACAAAGTCCAAAATGTCCTTTCTCGATTCATTTTAGTACCAAAACCATGTCATCCATGAATACTCAAAAATAGGCATGGACCCGGGCCGGGTCGGGCCCGGGCCGGGTCAAGGCCCGGTCGGGCCTCGGGTCCTATAAGGGTAGGCCCGGGACCGGCCCGGTCAATGACCGGTTCCGGTTCGGGCCGGGTCACCCGCCCGGGTCACGGGTCGGGCCACCCGCCGGGCCGGGCCGGGCCGGGTCAATAATTTTTTTTTTTATATTAATTATATATTATACAAATTGCTATTAAAAACAAAGTTCAAGTGCATTTATTTGAAATAAGAACTACATTTGAGAATTGAGAAAAAAATAACAATACGAAATACATTTTGTAATGAATATCAATTGGGATTTCCGCCACCGTTGGTTGTTGTTTTCCCTTTGTCACAAGACTTCATATGTTTTATTGGCATCCCGTATCCGTATGAACCCCCCAAGCAACACTCTTTCTTGCACCACCTGCAAGTTGCCCACCACAGTCCGGTCTTCGGGTCCTTCCACTTGTCAAAATTGTTTTGCATAAGAGAAGATGTACTTTCCATATTTAAAATGGTATATGTATAACACTATAAGTAATTAAGTAGGAATGTAGGATAATAAGAGAAGATAAAGATGGAGAAGAGTTTGAGAAGAATTGGAGAGAAGGTGTAGAAAAATGTTAGAAAATAGATGTATTTATAGGTGTTTTTGAACCCCACTCCCCACACCACCACCCCCGGGACCCCCCTGCCCCCCACCCATAGCCCCAACGGCTATATAGCCGTTTGGGAGCTTTGAATTTTTTTTTTTTTTTTTTTTTTAAGTTATACACATATTGTAAAATAAATTAATTAATTTAATGAATTAAGTAAAACTAAAACAAATGTTACAAAATAGGTGTATAAGTATTTAAACAAATTACATATTCTAAATGTATTTTTAATTTAAAAACCGGCTTTATATTTTAGAAAAATAATTTTAAGTCGTTAGATTGTAACCAATTAATTAATTTGAGAAGTGCTACATATGAAAAAGTGAACACATATTTATTTGAAATATGAAGTACAAGTTTACAAATTAATTTGAACTACAACTACAAATTTACAATTTTGAAATATGAAGTACAAGTTTACAATTTTGAAATATGAAGTACAAGTATAAATAAATTTGACAAGTGCTATAAAATACATTTTGTACTAAATTCTAAAATACTAATCAATCGGAATCTCCGGCATAGGTAGAGCCACCATCGGTTGTTGAGTCATCCATAAAATCTTGGGAGGGGGTGATGCTCAATTCTTGAGTTCTACGTGCGGCCTTCAACCAATCGTGGTAGCATATAAGCGTCTCAAGAGACTCCGCGCTCAATCTCGATCTAGATGCCGTTAGGACGTTGCCGGCCGAACTAAATTCTTGTTCCACCGCAACTGTTGAAACCGGCATTGATAGTACTTGCTTAGCCATCCGTGCTAAAATCGGGAACGTTCTTTCTTTTGACTTCCACCAGTCTAGAACGTCAAAGTCATCATTTTCTTCAAAATCAACTTCATATGTTAAATACAAAGTAATCTCATTCAATGCGCTTTGTTCAGTGACGTGAGTTGTTTTAGTTTTTTTCATAAGATTGCCAAATGCAGATTTAAAAATCGATTTTCCTTTAGATGAAGATGTTCGTGACGGGGGAGGGGGAGCGTTGCTATATTGTGCACGAAACTCATTAAATAAGGCATAAAATAAAGTACTAACCTCGTTGTATTCCGTTTTCGGATCTATGGGGTTATCCTCATACATTGGAAATTCACCGAAAAACGCAAGATAATAGAAGTTGAAACAATCTTCCAAATTAGCAAGTCTATAACGAGGATCGAGAATAAATGCAATACCATAAATATGGGGAATATGCGCATAATATTTTAAAAACTTTTCCTTCATATGATCACAAAAATAATGAACGAAAACGGCATTTTGAAATTCTTTAAAAGCATCGGCGAGATTAACAGTTTGTGGAATAAATTGGTTTGCGGTAGGTTTATAAACATGACTAAAAGTTTCAGTAGCATTAAAAAAATATATCAAAACATTACAAATTTTTTCGCAAGTGTCGATCTCAGCCGCGTTTATAATATAGTTATCATGTTCTTTTAAAAAAGCAGGAAAATGTTCTTTATATCTAAGAACAACTTTAAGTAATTTATAAGTACTATTCCAACGAATACTCAAATCTTTAGGAAAAGCAACATATCTCACACCTCTTTCAGTCAAATAACTTTGCCATTTTAATCTAAGTTGACCATTACCCCAAATACGTCTAACCCCCCCCTTTATTACCTCCATGGAATCTCCTAACGCTTTTAAACCGTCTTGCACACATAAATTTATAACATGACATGCACACCGTTGATGAAAAAATCTACCCATCAAAGAATTGGCACCACACAACTCACGCAATCTAGGTATAGCAGCAGTATTATTAGTAGCATTATCGAAACCAATAGCAAACACCTTATCAATCAAATTATACTCAATTAAAATACGCTCAATCAAAATATAAATATGTTCAGCGGTGTGACGATCATTAAATTCACGAAAAGCAAGAACACGTTTATGCATATTCCAATCCTCATCAATATAATGTGCAGTCAGACCCAAATAATATAAATGATGAAAATCATCCTCCCATATGTCAGAACAAATAGTAACACGCCCATCAAAGTTTGCAAAAAAATTTTGTAACCTTTCCTTTTCCGCATTATAAAGCCTTATTATTTCTTTCTTAACAGTTTTGCGACTATAATTTCTAAATTGAGGATTTAAACTACCTTGTGCATAATCTCTTAAAGCAAGACTTTCAGAAAACAAATAAGGCAAATTTTCTTCACAAATTAAGTTAGCCATACCAGTCAAATTTTGTGCATCATTGTAGGCGAAATTACCAAAAGGTTGAGAATTCGCAAACCTCGATATTTGAGTTTGCTTCCCCGTTCCGCCGCCTAATTTTGCG